GTATTGTTTTGTGTTATCTTCTTTCAGCATAATGTTTTCCAGATTTGTCCATGGTGGTGGTCTTTTGTTCTTTTGTTCTTTTGTTCTTTTTTTTGTTCTTTTATATTGTCAAGTAGTGTCCCATTGTATGGATATGTCACAGTATGATTATTCATTATCCTGTCGATAGACATTTGGATTGTTGACAATTTGGATCTATTACAAATGAAACTGTCATGGGCATTTGGATACAAATCTTTTTGTTGACATATCCTTATTTCTCTTGGGAAATTGCCAGAAGTAGAATTGCTGAGTCATATAATAAGTGTATGTTTAACTTTTTGAGAGACTCAAACTCTTTTTCAAAGGGAATTTACCCTCTTTCATTCCTACCAGTAATATATGGGTTTCAGATGCTCCACATTTTTGTCAACATTTGCCATTGTTAGTATTTTTAAATTTAGCTGGGTGCAGTGGCTCATGCCTGTAACCCCAGCACTTTGGGAGGCCAAGGCAGGCACATGAATTGAGCCCAGGAGTTCAAGACCATCTGGACAACGTGGAGAGATTCTGTGTCTACAAAAAAATTAAAAATTGGCTGGGTGTGGGGATGCTCACCTGTGGTCTGAGCTATTTGGGAGGCTGAGAGGCAGGAGAAGCACTTGAGCCCAGGAGGTTGAGGCTGCAGTGAGCCATGTTTGCCCCACTGCACTCCAGCCTGGGTGACAGACTGAGATCTTCTCTAAAAGACAAACAAAACAAAACAACAACAACAAACTTAACCACTCTTTTAAGTATGTGGTGATTTTAATTTGAATTTCTTTGATGACCAGTTTTATTGAGTGTATTTTCATTTGCCATTTTATATCTGTTCACATCTTTTTACCACTTTTAAAGTGAGTTGTTTGTCTTTTTATTAAGTTGCTGAAAGTTCTTCATATATTCTGGATGTAAGTCTTTTGTGAAATATGTGTTTTACAAGTGTATTCTCCAAGAATGTAACTTGCTTTTTCACTTTATTTGTTTATTTATTTATTGAGATAGAGTCTTGCTCTGTCGCCAAGGCTGGAGTGCAGTGACATGATCTCAGCTCACTGCAACCTCTGCCTCCTGGGTTCAAGCGATTCTGCTGCTTCAGCCTCCCCAGTAGCTCAGACTACAGGCAGCCGCCACCATGCCCAGCTAATTTTTGTAATTTTTGTAGAGATGGGGTTTCACCATATTGGCCAGGCTGGTTTTGAGCTCCTGACCTTGTGATCCACCTGCCTCGACCTCCCAAAGTGCTAAGATTACAGGCATGAGCCACCGCACCTGGCTGCTTTTTCATTTTATTAATGGCATCTTTTTAAGAGCAAAAGATCTTAATCCTGATGAAGTCTAATTTATTGAAAAAAAAAAATTATGGGGCTAATGCTTTATGTGTCTGAGAAATATTCACCTACCCCAAAGTTGTGAAGACGTTCTTTGATATTTTGTCCTAAAGGACTTACAGTTTTAGCTTTTACATTTAAGTCTATGATCCATTTCAAGTGGACTTTTCTGTGCAGTGTGAGGTCAAGATTGAGGTTCATTTTTTTCCATGTGATTATTTAGTTGTTCAACACTATTAAAAGAGTATCCTGTTCCCATTGACTTACCTGGCATCTTTGACCACATACATGTGGGTCTATTTCTGGACTCTATTCTGTTCTGTTGATCTATTTTCTACCCTGACAGCATACCATACTGCACTGATTATTGTAGCTTTGTAAGTCAAGAAATCATGTAGTCCTCAACTTTGCTCTCCTTTAAAAAGAAAAAAAAGAAACAAAAGATTTTACTATTTCAGGACTTTACATTTTCACATAAGTTTTACAATTCACTAGTCAATTCCTACAAGAATGCCTGTTCAGATTTTGATTGGGATTGCATTGAACCTATAGATCATTTTAGGGAGAATTGACATCTTAATGACATTAAGTTTTCCAATCCATGAACATGGGATATCTCTCCATTTATTTAGGTCTTCTTTAATATTTTCAGAAATATTTTTTAGTGTTTAGGTCTTGCACATACTTTGTTAAGTTTATCCTAAAATGTTTCATGTTATTTCATGTATTTATATTTAACTTTCAGTTTCCAAATGTTTATGGCCACTATGTAAAAATACAATTGATTTTGATATAATGACTTGTATACTGTGACCCTGCAAATGCACAATGCTTTAGTAGCTTTTTTTGTATGAATTCTTTAGGATTTTCTACATACATGATAATGACATCTGTGAATAAAAACCTTATATTCTGAGTCACTCACATTTGCGCTTTTAGTTTTGTAATTAAAAAAAAAACACAGATTGAGGAATGAGTCATCTTTGAGGTGCTACATTTTGCTTGGTTCACATAAACTGCATTGCTTTATCAATCCAAAGTCTTATAAAACTTAAATTGGATATCTGAGAGTTAATATGTCAAGTTTCTCAGGCACAACACAGCATATTGAATTGGAATTTCTTGTCTTCCTTTCTGTCTCTTCTAGCTGTCCTCTATCTCCATACATTAAACATCTTTGTGTCAGAGCCTAATAGTACCTCACACTTAAAAGCTGTTTAGTTAATAGCTATCAAATGAAGGAATGATATAATTAAGACCTGTTTAGGCTGGGCGTGGTGATTCACACCTGTAATCTCAACACTTTGGGAAGCCAAGGCAAGAGGATCACTTGAGGTCAGGAATTTGAGACCAGCCTGACCAACATGGTGAAACCCTGTCTCTACTAAAAATACAAAATCTAGGTGGGCGTGACATGCATGCCTGTAATCCCAGCTACTCCAGAGGCTGAGGCAAGAGAATTGCTTGAACCCGGGAGGCGGAGGTTGCAGTGAGCTGAGATCATGCCACTGCACTCCAGCCTGGGCGACAGAGCGAGATTCTGTCTCAATAATAATAATAATAATAACCTGTTTAGAATGACTTCAGCTATAACCTAAAGAAGTTTATTTTCTTTGGGCCTCAACAATTTCATTCAAATTATATCATTTATTGATATGATCCCCTGACTAGTTTTTCTGTTATCCTTTAGATGAATATTCCTGAGTATCATTTTCTAATCCCTTTTAAAAACTTGTTTTAACTATAATATAGTTATAACCCATTTAACAATTATTATACTCATTTAAAAATAGCATATTTTTTCCATTTGAAAGTAAATTTTGGGCCAGGCGCGGTGGCTCAAGCCTGTAATCCCAGCACTTTGGGAGGCCGAGACGGGCGGATCACGAGGTCAGGAGATCGAGACCATCCTGGCTAACACGGTGAAACCCCGTCTCTACTAAAAAAATACAAAAAAATAGCCGGGCGAGGTGGCGGGCGCCTGTAGTCCCAGCTACTCAGGAGGCTGAGGCAGGAGAATGGCGTGAACCCGGGAGGCGGAGCTTGCAGTGAGCTGAGATCCGGCCACTGCACTCCAGCCCGGGCGACAGAGCCAGACTCCGTCTCAAAAAAAAAAAAAAGAAAGAAAGTAAATTTTGGCCCCCTTTTCTTCATCTTTCATCTGAATACTTCGGTTGGAAGATACTGGGCAGGCATTTACATGTCCTTGGTACTAGTAACTTTTGACACAGTGTTGGTGTTGAACTGACAACACAAGATCTCTGCTTTCAATGCTGCCAGAGAGTTTAGAGGAGGCATGGGAACAGGGGGTTCTTCCAGCACTTGGCTTAATTTCATCTGGTTCATAGCCAGCTTTCTAAAATTAACTGTGGCTAAAGCTGAGAAGCCTTTTTAAAAGACCTTTAGTGGAATTATCCACTAAAGGCCACCAGATGGATCTATTCTTCTGTAAAAGAAGACAATTTCTGCTGTGAGACAGCCATTCTACGTATAACCAATGTGTCTGGTTGTCTTGAGCTGGTGAAGTCCCAGTAATATCACTGTCTCAATACCCTAAACCCTCATTGCTTGCTACAGAAAGTCAAATTTCTTATTTAGGGTTCTCTTGCCCAAATGTTTCCAACAATCCCCTGATCCTTATGTGTCCAAATAACAGATCTGATTGTCATTTGGTGCTGAGCTATCACTTCATATCCTCAAGCCAAAGAGGTTGGCCAAGATGGCTTTCCACCCTCTTAAGTATTGCAGTCACCTTCATGGTAAAGATGGAAGTGGGTGTGAAGTAAGAAAGAGAATGCCTTTTTTTGGTGGTACTTTCTCTTAGGGATAAAGGTGTCCCTTCAAATCAAGATAATTTGAGCCTTAACGTGTCATAGCAATTACTGTGAGTGGATTTTGTTAGTTAGTTTTCATTAGTTATTAGTTTTCTCAGGTATTATCAGGCTGTGGGGAAGGGGCAGAAGATCTTAATTCATGACCAAAAAGCATAAAAAAAATACTACTAATGTTAAATAAATTTCCCCAATTCTGAGTTTTTATAAGCATTGTTTTTAATGACTTCCTAGCACACTAGTGAAAGGTAATATTTTAATTTATTTAACTATTACCCAACCACTGGTCATATAGATTGTTTCTTAGTTATTGCTATTATATACTATGTTTCAATGAGTATCATTTAGATATTAAGCTTTGCCATATTTAAAATAGTTTCCCTGGTATAGGCTCCTAAAACTAGAACATGTAGGTCCAATGGTATGTGAATATTTTTCTGCTTTTTGAGACACATCCTCTAATTGATAGAAAGCAGATCCATTCAGAAAAGAAAATAACTTTCCAGTTATCAGAATATAGGTATCATTGTCCTCTAATATTTAAGAACATGAAAAATGGGACTAAAAGGTCAGAAGGTTATTTTAGTGAGCAAAATAACAGACTAGAGGAAATATTTTTGGCCTATGGAGAGTTTAAATCAGGCTATGGTATGCAGGCCAGACTGATCTTTTACTTCTAGACCTATCACTAGTATATTCTGGGGGCCCAGGTTATTACTGAAAATAAACAGGACAGACTTCAAGACTTCCATTTTTCTGGGAAGATGGGTTTGTTGACCTTCCTGGGATAGATGATCCTTGGTCATGTGGTTTCTTCCAGCATCCACCAGCTGAGGAACAAAGTATCAGAGGAGCATGATGTTCTCAAGAAGAAAGAGATGGAGTCAGGGCCCAAAGCATCCCATGGCTATGGAGGTCGGTTTGGAGTAGAAAGAGACCGAATGGACAAGGTAAGTTGAAAGGGAAAGATTTGCTTTGAAAATATACATTTAAAAAATTGATATATATATTTATATATTTTGTAAATATTTATAAATAATTATATACTTATATATAATTATATACCTCTATAATAAGAGCCAATTATATATAAGTATATTATTATATAAGTATATATTTATTATATATGTATGATTATATAATATATAATAAATATTATATATTATATTATAATCATAATAAATATATTATATATTTATATATACTTATATATTATATAGTATATAGTTAAAGATATTATATATTTATATATACCATATATTATATAGTATATAGTATAATATATTATATATTTATATATACTTATATATTATATAGTATATAGTATAATATATAATATTAATAGTATATATTATATATTACATATTATATATTAATGATATAAAATATAATATACAGCATATTATATATTAATGTAGATTATATATTATATAATGTGACATATAACATATGATTATATATAATATTAATATATATTAATATATGATATATCAATATATTTATGTATATTTATATACTTATATAGTATCTGTTATATATAAGTATATAGTTATATACTTATATATAGTGTCTGTTATATATAATATATAGTTATATATAAGTATATATTATATATAAGTATATAATTAATATATAAATACATTATATATTATATACTTAAATACTTATATAATTATTTATGCATATATTTATAAATATATATTAATATATAACATAATTATAAGTAAATGCAAATATATAAATTTATATTATATGTATATTTTAATATATTATATGATACAATATATTTATATTATAGTTTATTCATAAATATATAGTATATAATATTTAAGTATATATAAAATATTTCACTAGAACACCCAGATACTTTTGTTCTATATCAAAATATATATTTTTTGACTCATTTATTGGTTCATGAGTTAAAACTCATTCAAAAGTACAGTGTTCATTTGGTCTCTAATATTATTGAGACCAATATTATTGATACAAATATCATATTATTTGTATCAAATTTTTCTTATCTCAACACATAAGATATACATGGCAGAAAATAGGAGCCTATATATTAGAACTGCTGGCCTGTTGTAGCCCTAACCACACTGTAACTCCTAGACCAAGAAGACAGGGAGCATAAGTGGAGAAGGAAAAAATATGTTTTAAAATCATTTGCTGCTTTTAAATGTTTATGTATTATATCTATGTTGCAACTTCTCTTTACTATTTTCTTTACTGTGTATTTAGTGATTTTTTGTATATATGTCCTACATTACATGTTGTATAAAGCTCAGAGTTCACTTCTGAACTTTGATGGCCATACAGGAGCAAAGATCTATAACAAAATCACGCTCTCCTAGTGAAAATTCCATCCCGGCTATGGCGTCCGGTCAGTCCCCTTGGTCTCTCCTCCACACTACCCCACACTACACTGTGTTCTGCTGCACAGTGCTCTTGTTTCAGCTCTTTTTGTTTCTGATTTAAACACTGCTCTGTCTATCCAGTCTCTATCCCCTGGTTCCCAGCCCATCCTATGGGAGTGTTCAGAATGAAGGATTACTAATGGTATTAAAGAAGAACAGGAATGAGCAGGTCTCCAGAAAAAGTCACCTTGCTCTCCCATCGCATATTCCTTGGCACCACTGTCAGAGGCCATAGATCTGACCCAGAATGGAATTTCTTACATGCCTACATCCCACTCCATCTCTGTATTTATTTCTTTAAGGTCATTTTTATCATTTCACTCACTCCATCCTTGATTCTTCTCAGAGTGCAGTGGGCCATGAGTATGTTGCCGAGGTGGAGAAGCACTCTTCTCAGACGGATGCTGCCAAAGGTTTTGGGGGCAAGTACGGAGTTGAGAGGGACAGGGCAGACAAGGTAAGTGATCACTCTCTCTCCCGACCACCCACCTCCAGTCATGTGAAAGTTGCCCACACTCACCCCTGGATGGAGGCACATGCTTCTTTGTTGGGAGACAGGGCAGTGGATGCTGTGAGGACCTGACACCATCACAGGGATATCTCCCTCAGCAAGTTCCTTGGTGCCAATGTTGGAAGCCACATGTTGAGCTCAGCGATTCAAATAAGGAGAAGCCTCTAAAACTGTCTGTTTGAATGAAGAATTCCTCAAGCCACTGGTTTGACAGAACAGAGAATCATCTAAGCTCTTCTTTGGCTTAACATCAAAACCATATAAATACTCACGCCTTTTAGGAAAACAGAGTTGTCAGTTTAAATATTACTACCATGGCAGCAGATAATCAAGTTAAACAACTAATTAGGGTTACTATTTACAGGATTTAGCGTCAATCTACAAAGTCCAGATATTTTTAAAGACTCCTTTGTACAAAACAAAACAAAACAAATGTTGTTTTAAAGAGAAAAAAAAGTATCATGTGATTACAGCATCATATTGTTGACAGGAGAGTAAGATTGATAACTCATTGATGTTTTTAGTTCCACACCTTATTAGGTCAAATTCTTTGAGCTCATTTTTTATGGTGCAGAATGGTATCTCCTGCCCTGCAGCTGCACACAGAGGGAGGACATCTCCTTCATAGCTAGCTGAGATTTTTTCTTTGTTTTTACCAACAGTTGTTAATTAGGTGGGCATGAATCCTTAAAGCTAAGTTCTAGAACATTAATTGTTTGCATCATGGGGGGGAATCCATGAAAAACAAAACCAGGAAAGTTTAAAACATACTGCAAAGCTAAGGGAAGATGTAGAAGGCAATAGTGGAATATGGAGCATGCAATGTTCTAGAATCAGGATGGAATTCCCTGTTCCACCTTGGCCTCCCTCTTGCCTGCCTTTGCTTAATCTCCGATTATGACATCTTTTGCTCACAAGCCGCAAATGGAATCACCCAGTCAGTGTGTCATGTAAATCAAGAAACAATACATGTTAATTAGTTCTTAAGATGCAAAACCCCAGACTTGCTCAGATACCCATAGTTCCTGAGCCAGATGGAGAACAAAACTCTGCGGTAATGTTGAGTATCTGGGCAACATGTCCAGTCCCGGAGCTGGCTAGGATCCAGACTCTCCTGGTTGCAGTTATCCCACCAAAATCCACATATTGTGTTTCTATTATTGAGTAATGAAAGAGAAGAGGCACAGCATTATCAACTGGGAATAGGGTAATGTCTCTTCATGAACAGAGTGATTTATACTTTACAAGGCGCTTTTCTAGGTATTACATTTCACTTTTGTGAGGATTCGTTAGAAAGAAAAGCACTAAGTTAGCGAATGAACCTAAGTAGACACTTTACCTTGTCCCATTTAGTTCTTGTGATATCCCAAATGAAGAGGGATCATTTATCTCATTTTACAGTCGAGGTAGATAAGACAGGCATGCCTCTCCTGATTTTATATTAAAAGAGACTGGGGCTTAATAATATAAAGGAACATGCCTAAACTTCAACAACTATAAATAGGGGATGTAGGGTTTGAACCTAGAACCGTCTGTGTCCAGGGCCAATGTTCATCGCTCTGTAGTCTCTTGTGTCCATACCAGCCTGTTTCTACATTAAACACCCATACTCAGCCTGAAGCCCCTACAAACTACCTCTGGGACTGGCTGGGAGTAAGGGGAGGTCAGGAAGGGGAAAACCTGTCAGCTCTGATTCTAACCAATTCTCTCTCCTCTTCTCTGTAGTCAGCAGTCGGCTTTGATTATAAAGGAGAAGTGGAGAAACACACATCTCAGAAAGGCAAGGACACTGTACTTCACTCAGCCTCGGCAATCTGACTGGCAGGCTCTTCTGCTAAGACTTTATCTTTCAACAGTTGTCATCAGTTCTTTAACTTCCATGACCCAGCTCACCACTATTTTATTTACTTTTTGTTCATTTGTTTGTTTTTGAGACAGAGTCTTGCACTGTCACCCAGGCGGGAGTGCAGTGGCACAATCACAGGTCACTGCAACTTTGACTTCCTGGGCTCAAGTGATCCTCCCACCTCAGCGTACTGAGTAGCTGTGACTACAGGTGTGCACCACCATGCCTGGCTAATTTTTTATTCTTTGTAGAGATGGAGTCTCACTATGTTGCCCAGGCAGTCTCGAACATTTTGGCTCAAGTGATTCTCCCCTCTTGCCCTCTCAAAGTGCTGGAATTGTAGGCATGAGCCACAGCACCCAGCGCTATTTTATATACTTTTGTTTTGTTTTGTTTTTTTGTTTTTTTGAGAGGAAGTCTTGCTCTGTCACCCAGGCTGGAGTGCAGTGGCGCGATCTCGGCTCACTGAAAGCTCTGCGTCCCGGGTTCACGCCATTCTCCTGCCTCAGCCTCCCGAGTAGCTGGGACTACAGGTGACTGCCACCACTTCTGGCTAATTTTTTTTTGTATTTTTAGTAGAGATGGGGTTTCACCATGTTAGCCAGGATGGTCTCTATCTCCTGACCTCGTGATCCTCCCACCTCGGCCTCCCAAAGCGCTGGGATTACAGGTGTGAGCCACCGTACCCAGCCCTATTTTATATGCTTTTTAAACCCAGTGTGTACTTGCTTCTCTTTTTCTCCATGATTGCTTTCTATAATATTGATCAAGTTTTGGAATCCTCTTTTTTCTCTAATAGATTGAAAATAAGGTTTTCTATTCCTTTATTTTAGAAGGTTATTGCCAAATTTTAACATGCATCTTTGACTTAAATTTAAAATTAATCGCAATCTCTTCCTGAGTATATGTGAAACATAGAACATTTTAACTACATTCTTTTTAACCAACCATATTGTTGTCGTTCAGTATATTGGTTGCATCTCATTCCATCTTATTATTGGTCCCATCTTATAAACCCCACAAAAATGAATCGTTATTATTACCTAGTAAATGCTTATTTAAATTGACCAAGGTATTTACCTGTTTCCTAACTCAACATTGCTTATTGTATTTCTTTGTTTCACCTTTGCGTCTTCTATTTCCTAACTCATCATTGCTTATTGTATTTCTTTGTTTCACCTTTGCGTCTTCTGTTTCCTTCTTGCTAAAATATATCCACTGATAATTCTTTTAATGAGTCTGTGAAAGAGCTTTCAGTCTTTGAAAAAGTCTTTATTTTGCATCATTCTTCATTTTTATTTTCCCTTCATCACTTTGAAGATCTTATTTCATCGTCTCTGACATCTCTGTTGTGTCAGACTATCATTCCTGAGTAGGTAACATGTCTTATATCTCTGGTTTTTTTAAATTAAAGATTTTCTTTTGGTCTCTGATATTCTGCACTATTATTAGGGTGTGTCTAGATGTTAGATCTACTTTTATTATCCTATATGGGACTTACTGCTCTTTTCCAACCTCAGATGTGACTTTCATTATAGAAAGTTCTTAGGCATTTTCTCTTTGAATAATACCTCTCTCTTCTCTTTATGTCCCTGAGCCGCATTCTGGGTTATTCCTTTAGATCTAGGTTAAGTTCACTAATTCTCTCTTTAGCTGTATTTTAGTATTGTTTAAACTGTCCATTACATTTTAAACTTTCTTTCAAATATCTTCCCTCCCCTCCCCTTCCCTTCCTTCCCCTTCCCTTACCTCCCCTTCCCTTCCCTCCCCTTCCCTTCCCTCTCTTTTTTTTAGATAAAGTCTCATTATGTTGCCCAGGCTGGCCTCAAACTCCTGGGCTGAAGTGATCCTCCCATCTTGGCCTCCCAAAGTGCTGGGATTACAGGCATGAGCCACCACATCAGATATTTTCATTTCTGGAGTTTCTTTCGGTTCTATTGCATATCTGCTGATTCATTTTCCATAAGACATTATAGTTTCATTATGGTTCCCTGTACCACTTCTTTAAGCTCTTTAATTATTTTAAACATGTACTTTATAGTTTCTTTCATATTTTATATTATTTGAAGTTCTTGGCTGTGTGAGTTCTTCTGACTAATCTGCTGTTCCTCACGGTTATTTATTTCCTTGATGGTTTGTAATCTTTGTTTATAAACTTATTTGAGTGAAGGAGAGGGATATTTGTTTTATGAGAATTTCATGTGCCCTGGGTTTAGTAAGTACCTCATCCAGGGAAATATTGCCTCTACTTCTGGCTCAACTTTAGAGGTCTTAATAGTAATGGACGTTTTTTTCCTTTATTATTATTTTTTCCCATGGAGTTCAAGTCTTTCTGTTTTTTAAGTTGGTTATGGTATGTTGTGCTTTTCAAGGACTTTGTTCATTTTGTCTGTGTTGTCAGGTTTCTTGGCATAAATTCATTTATAATAGTCTCTTCTTTTTAACTTCTGTAAGATTTCTAGTGATATGAAATGACTATTTTCATTTCTGATCTTATTTATTTGTGTTTTTTCTCTTTTTAATTGTTCTTACTAGAATTTCATCAATTTTATTATTCTTTCCAAAGAACAAGCTTTTGGCTTTGCTAATTTTCTCTATTGTTTACCTGTTTTAAAAAATGTATTGGTTTCTGCTCATATCTTTATTATGTTTTTCTTCTACTTAGTGTTGATTTAGTTTGTTCTTTTTCTAGCCTCTTAAGGTAGAAACTTAGATAACTGATTTTAAGCCTTCCTTTACTATATGGGCATTTAAAAAACTATACATTTCCCTCTAAACACTACATTCACTACAACCATTTGCTACATTCAACAAATACTATATGTATTTTAATTTTCATTCATCACAAACCTGTGGTCCCAGCTATTCAGGGGGCTAATGTGGGAGGATCGCTTGAGCCCAGGAGGTTGAGGCTGCAGCGAGCCATGATTGTGCCACTACACTTCAGCCTGGGTAACAGAGTGACACCCTGTCTCAAAAACAAAAACAAAAGCAACAACAAAAAAATTCAGTTAAAAATATTTTCTTATTTCCCTTGTAATTTCTTCTTTGACACATGTATTATTTAAAAGTTGTTACTAATTTTCTAAGTATCAGGGAAATTTTCTAGATGATTTTATTGGTATTGACTTTTACTTTAATTCTATTGTGATCAGAATATGATATCTAATATTTCAGTCTTTTGAAATATACTGAGACTTACCGTCTTAGAGACTTATGGACCGGCACATGGTCTATTTGGTCAATGTTCTGTTCTATATGCATGAAAAAAAGTATATTCTGTATTTTGGGGTATAGTGTTGTATAAGAGTCAATTAGGTCTTATTAATTGATAATGTCTGTATCTTCTATAATTCTACTGATTCCTTTTTGCCTAAAATATCTATCAATTAATGGAAGAGTGGTGTTAAAAATTTCAACTACTATTACAGGTTTGTCTGTTTCTCTTTCTACTTCTGTCAGCTTTTGCATTATTTGTGTGTGTGTGTGTGTGTGTGTGTGTGTGTGTGTGTGTGTTGGAGTCTTGCTATGTTTCTCAGGCTGGTCTCAAACTCCTGAGCTCAAGCCATCCTCCTGCCTCAGCCTTCTGAGAGGCTGGGACTACAGGCATTCACCACACCTGGCTTTTTACATTTTTCTTTTATTTGAGAGCTTCATGAATTTTGGTTCTGTGAATAGGTTTATGCCAGCATACATATTCCCGATGAAAGGTATTGTTCTTTTATCATTGTAGCATGTCTCTCTTGTCTCTTAGAATGCATTTTGTCTTGAGATAACTTTGTCTCATATTCATGCCATCTTTCTTATGCTTACTCTTTCAACAATATATATTTTCCTGGATCAGTATTTAGTTAATTTCTCAGCTTAGAATTCCTGCATCACATAAGTAGTAAAAAAAAAAAAAAAAAAAAAAAAAAATTGTGTATTTGCATTCTACACTCAGATGTAGGCTTAGAGTTTCCATGTCTTAAGAAGCAAATTTTCCCCCTATCAAATGTTGAACAGGCTACAAGCCCCCCTCATGATTTTCCTGGGTAAATGAGTAGAATTTTTCTAGCACTCTCTTACAGGAGTGGACAGAGCTTCTTTTCTGGCTTTCTTCCCTCTTCCCCCATTCTTATATGGAAATTAGAATCGCAGAGCCTCGATCCTAATCCCTGTTCATTACATTTGGAATTTAAAATCTGACAGGTGTGGTAGTTCACACACGGAATCGCAGCACTTTGGGAGGCTGAGGGGGGTGGGTCCTTTGAGCCCAGGAGTTTAAGGCTAGACTGGGCAACATAGTGAGATCCCATCAATACAGACTTTTTTTAAATTAGCGAGGCATGGTGGCACGTGCTTGTGGTCCCAGTGACTCAGGAGGATTGCTTGACCCCAGGAGTTCAAGGTTACAGTGAGCCATGATTATACCCTGCACTCTAGCCTGGGCAAAAGAGCAAGAGCCCGCCTCTAAAAACAAACAAAAAAATCCCCCCAAAATGCCCTTGGGTTTTCTGTGGTGTCAGTTCATAATTACCCTCACACATACAGCTTTGATTCATCTCTTTGTTTCTGGTTTCTGGAGCCAGAATTTTTTCCTTCCTTTCTTCTGAACTTCACTTTTTATTTTTATTTTTTTGAGATGGAGTCTCGCTCTGTCACCTAGGCTGGAGTGCAATGGTGCAATCTCGGTTCACTGCAACCTCCACCTCCCAGGTTCAAGTGATTCTCTCCTGCCTCAGCCTCCCGAGTAGCTGGGACTACAGGCACACATCACCATGCCTGGATAATTTTTGTATTTTTTAGTAGAGACAGGGTTTCCCCATTTTGGCCAGGCTCGTCTCAAACTTCTGACCTCAGGTGATCCACCTGCCTTGGCCCCTGAAGTGCTGGGATTACAGGCATGAGCACCGTGCCCAGCCTGAGCTTCACTCTTTAAAACAAAATTGTTATGTTTTATCTGACATTTCTATGTGCTTATATGGGAGTAGGGGAAAGGCATACATTTCATGTATCTGCCTCTTTTTTCCTGCAATCTCCTCACTCTCTATACTTGCCCCTTCTTGAAGAAGAAGGGAGAAAATGGGAATGTTCTTCTCATTTGGCATGGAAATGAGAGAAGACAGGGAAAAAGTAAGCAATATTCAATTCAAAGACTACTTAAGACATGGTTTCTCTTTAATTCCCCTATATTCAAGCCTTGCTCTTTTTCCAGGCCCCTAACACTCTGCACGCATTCCTGCTGACCTCTCTTCTCCAGCACTTCCCTGTGTGCTGGAGCCTAAGGGTGGGCTCTCATGACTGCTCCTTTGACCGCAGATTACTCTCGTGGCTTTGGTGGCCGGTATGGGGTGGAGAAGGATAAACGGGACAAAGCAGCTCTGGGATATGACTACAAGGGAGAGACGGAGAAGCACGAGTCCCAGCGAGGTGAGTTGGGGTTGGAAGGGGGAAAGTCACAGATAGCACAGGGCTCTCCTTCCTTCCTTTCTGGAAGCTCACCCAGGGGCCCCAGAATACAGAGGGGGCAGATGTGCAGAGCAGGGGGTGCACAGGCAGTAAGTACATGTAGGGGATGGATGGTGGTAGTGAGGGAAGAGAGGAGAGGTGGAGAGGAAAACAGCAGGATTAAGAGCAGGGCCTAGGAGGGAGGTGAGAGAGAAGGGAGCATTGAGGAAGGAATGAGGACAGACAGGCTAGGTGATGGTCAGAGGATGGTTTGCCATGAGTCTTACAGGGCTCTCTGCTGTCCTCACAGAGGATAAAGAGGTTTACTGCTTCCCTGGAACCCATAGGGATGACTGGAGTGCCCTCTGTATTTTTTCCTATTTCTTTTACATTTTTCCTTATCTGTTGCTTTCCGCTTTCCATGTTTCCCTATTTCCATCATTCTCTTCTCCATTCTCTCCCAGATTTTTCCCCATCTGTTTCCTTCTCTTCCCATCCATGCCTCCCTCTATCCTCTGATTCTCACATTTCCTCCTATGTCTGTTTTCCACATTCCTATTTTTCTTCCCACTGATTCTTCTTACTACCTATTCCCAGCATTTTGATCTCCTATAACTCAGAACTTTCTGTCCTGCAGATTATGCCAAGGGCTTTGGTGGCCAGTATGGAATCCAGAAGGACCGAGTGGATAAGGTAAAGCACCAGAACACCAATGTCTTAAGAAGTTCTCTAAGTTTAGGAAAGAGTGCAGAGAAGAGTGTGAAGAAGGCTGGGAGAGGGAGGGGATGGTGGTGCTGGGCACACAGAGCCTGTCCTGCTGGTGTCCTGCACTCCCCACTGACTGCCCTCAGCGTCTAAGGGGTATGTCTTCCAAAGCCTGAGCTTTGACTGAGGACAGTGGGAGAGGCATACAGAGACACAGATAAACCACAGGGAAAGGTGGCATTGGACTGGAAATTGTATTGATTTCTTTGTATTGCTTAACCCAATCTTAAGTCTTTTCCCACCCCATGCCACTGTCCTCCCTATAGTAGTTCCTCCTCATGCATTGGCCACGGGCCCTGCTACATTTTAGGCAACTGGGCTTGGAGACGTGAGATTCTAAGGTCACTGAGCTTTCGAAAGGGGGAGCTGAACCCAACAGTTAAGAACTTCTTTACCCCCTCTCTACCACAAAACAACATTGGAACATGCTGTCCAGCTGTTGAGCATCCAATGGTTAGGAATACCTCCTATAGTGGTCCCCAACCCCCAATACCACCTCCAGGTCACCACTACCCCCCTCCCGTCCCGCAACACACGTGCTGTTCTCCTGCCTGCAGAGCGCTGTCGGCTTCAATGAAATGGAGGCCCCAACCACAGCTTATAAGAAGACGACTCCCATAGAAGCCGGTGAGGCTTAGTGATTCACTCTCCATGCACCTCACTTCCTTCTCCCTCATTCTTTTTCTTCCCCAGCCTATATCCTCCATGCCTTTAACTGCCTAGATTAGCTGGGGTAGACCTGATCCCTATCCTCATATTCCCAGATTCTGTCTCTCCTAGAAAAATCAGGTAAGGCGGGGCTCACGCATGTAATCCCAGCACTTCGGGAGGCTAAGATGGGAGGATTGCTTGAGCTCAGGAGTTTAAGAATAGTTTGGACCACCTGGGGAAGCCCCATCTTTATAAAAAATACAAAAATTAGCCAGGCATGGTGGTGCATGCCTGTAATCCCAGCTACTTGGGAGGCTGAGGCAGGAGAATTGCTTGAACCTAGGAGGTGGAAGTTGGAGTGAGCTGACATCATGCCACTGAACTCCAACCTGGGTGACAGAGTGAGACTCTATAAAAAGAAAGAAAGAAGGAAAGAAAGAAAGAGAGAGAGAGACGAAGGAAGGAAGGAAGGAAAGAGAGAGAAAAGAAAGAAAGAGAAAAGAAAGAAAGAAAGAAAGAAAGAAAGAAAGAAAGAAAGAAAGAAAGAAAGAAAGAAAGAAAGAAAGAAAGAAAGAAAGAAAGAAAGAAAGAAAGAGAGAGCGTAAACCCGGGAGGCGGAGCTTGCAGTGAGCTGAGATCAGGCCACTGCACTCCAGCCCGGGTGACAGAGCGAGACTCCGTCTCAAAAAAAAAAAAAAAAAAGAAAGAAAGAAAAAGAGAGAGAGAGAAAGGAAGAACCAAGTCAAGTGGATAGAAAGAGTAACGTCGGGAAAGGAACTGGAGGCAGAGAACAAAGTGTGGCGTGGAGCGGGGGTGGGGTGGCGTGGGAACATTGGTGGGGAACCACTTGGGAAGGACACATAGGGATAGGAGCTTCGGATGGGGTTGAGGATGAGTGGTGGCTTGAAGAAGGCATACAGATTTATGGAATATGGACAGGGGAGGATGCTGGTTGGAAGCCCAAAGTTTACAATTTAGAAAGGACACAGGTGGGCTGGGCATGGTGGCTCACACCTGCAATCCCAAAACTTTGGGAGGCTGAAGTAGGAGAATCACTTGAACCCAGGAGTTCAAGATGAGGCTGGGCAACACAGCAAGATCCCCTCTCTACAAAAAATACAAAAATTAGCCAAGTGTGGGGGTGCACACCTGTGGTCCCAACTACTCCAGAGGCTGACGTAGGAGGATTGCTTGAGCCTGGGAGGCTGAGGCTGCAGTATGCCATGACTGCACCACTGCACTCCAGCCTGGGCTGAGACCCTGTCTCAAAACAAGACAAAACAAAACAAAAAGACATGAGGTCACATAGCCTGGCTTTATAAAAATCCAGGCTTCACCGGGCGCAGTGGCTCAAACCTGTAATCCCAGCACTTTGGGAGGCCGAGGCGGGTGGATCATCTGAGGTCTAAAGTTGGAGGCTAGCCTGGCCAACATGGAGAAACCCCGTCTCTCTAAAAATACAAAATTAGCCGGCGTGGTGGCGCATGCCTGTAATCCCAGCTACTCAGGAAGGCGGAGGCAGGAGAATCGCCTGATTTCTGGGAGGCGGAGATTGCAGTGAGCCGAGATCGCTCCATTGCATTCCAGCCTGTGCAACAAAAGTGAAATGCCGTCTCAAAAAAAAAAAAAAAAAAAAAAAAAAAAAAAAAAAAAAAAAAAAATTCCAGGCTTCAGGGCTATGCCATCCTCCTATAATCCCCTTGTTCCTCTGTCAATACCTCTTTACCTTCCTGTCCCACAAATCCCTCCTCCTGGATATTTAACTGATTCCCCTTCTTCCTTCAAGTGCCATGCCCTTCCCCACCCTCCAATCCAAGACAACCCTAATTCTTCTTGCCTGTGTCTGCAGCTTCTAGTGGTGCTCGTGGGCTGAAGGCGAAATTTGAGTCCATGGCTGAGGAGAAGAGGAAGCGAGAGGAAGAGGAGAAGGCACAGCAGGTGGCCAGGAGGCAACAGGAGCGAAAGGCTGTGACAAAGATGAGCCCTGAGGCTCCACAGCCAGTGATAGCTATGGAAGAGCCCACAGTACCGGCCCCACTGCCCAAGAAAATCTCCTCAGAGGTGAGTGCCTGGCCCGCTGGGATCCACATCCGGGATCTCTTGCCCAGACAGGAGCCTAAGGGGTCCAAACCATTGGCAGAAAATAAGGCAAAGGCCTCCCCTGGGTTAGGCAGGGTCTGTTGTCTCTGTCTTTAGAAGACTTCAGTCTGACTGTAATTGGACCTCCTATCAGAATGTCAGAAAAAACTCTCAAGATTTACATAGTACAACAGAAAGCAAGTCACCAGCCAGCACAGCCAATTATTGCTGCAGGAACTATGAGGAAGGGGCCGTCACTTCAGGTTGGAGCTCATCTTGAGGGATGAGTTCCATTTGAATTGGCAGAGAGCAGGAGAGGGTGTTCCTGGTAAATGTAGCAGTGAAGACATGCATGGTGTAGTGGCTTATGCCTGTAATCCTAGCACTTGGGGAGGCCAAGTTAAGAGGACCACCTGAAGCCAGGAGTTCTAGACCAACCTGGGCAACATAGTAAGACCCTGTCTCTATAAAAAAATTTTTTTTAATTAGCTGGGCATTGTGGTGCGTGCCTATAGTCCCAGCTACTTGGGAGGCTTGGAGAGGAGGATCGTTTGAGCCCAGGAGTTTGAGGCTACAGTGAGCTATGATCTCACCACTATGCTCCAGGCAGGGCAGCAGAGTGAGACCCTGTCTCAAAAAATATATAAAATAAAAAAAAAAAAGAATGAAGATGGGCCAAGCGTGGTGGCTCACGCCTGTAATCCCAGCACTTTGGGAGGCCAGGGTGGCCGGATCACGAGGTCAGGAGATCAGGAGTTCAAGACCAGCCTGACCAACATAGTGAAACCCTGTCTCTACTAAAAATACAAAAATTAACCAGGCATGGTGGCCCATGCCTGTACTCCCAGCTACTCAGGAGGCTGAGGCAGGAAAATCGCCTGAACCCGGGATGCGGAGGTTGCGATGAGCTATCGCGCCACTGCACTCCAGCCTGGGCTACAGAGCGAGAGTCTGTCTCAAAACAAAACAAAAAAAAGAGTGAAGATGGAGGCTTGCTTACTTGAGAGATGCTTCATTCTCCACAGGCCTGGCCTCCAGCTGGGACTCCTCCATCATCAGAGGCTGAGCCTGTGAGAACCAGCAGGGAACACCCAGTGCCGTTGCTGCCCGTTAGGCAGACTCTCCTGGAGGTAAGCAAACCTTCAAAGATTCTCGGCCGGCTGGGTGCGGTGGCTCACACCTGTAATCCTAGCACTTTGGGAGGCTGAGACGGGCAGATCACGAGGTCAGGAGATCGAGACCATCCTTGCTAGCACGGTGAAACCCCGTCTCTAGTAAAAATACAAAAAATTAGCCGGACGTGGTGGCGGGCGCCTGTAGTCCCAGCTACTCGGGAGGCTGAGACAGGAGAATGGCATGAACCCGGGAGTGGAGCTTGCAGTGAGCCAAGATCGTGCCACTGCACTCCAGCCTGGGTGACACAGCGAGACTCCCTCTCAAAAAAAAGAAAAAAAAAAAAAAGATTCTCTGCCCTCACCCCATCTCCTCCAGTCTTAGGAAGGTGGACTGTGCAGGGTGGCCAACCATCCTTGTTTTCCTTGCACTGTTCTGGTGTCAGCACTGAAGACCCTACCCTGCCTTCTGGGAAACTCCTCAGTCCTGGGCAAATTAGGACAGCTGGTTATCCTAGCTGTGGTAGCTCAACAATGTGCTTTTGCTTCTATGTTTTCTTGGCCTCCCAAAGGATCTGACTCGCTTTCTACTTCCCTCCCCTCACACCTTTTACATTCTCTTCCCATTGTCTCTGGAATGTGTTTTGGGTGGGTGGGTGTGGGAGGAGGTTGAGGAATGAAGATGGATGAAAGGCTATGTTCCCCAGGACAGTCTGTTAGATGGAGGCAAGGGTGGAGGGGAGAAGAGGCAGGGTGGTGAAGGGCAGGGGTCTTACTCCTCCATTGAGTCCTTCTGGAGAGTGGAAGTCACACTGCTCTACACTGTCTCTTCTCAGGACAACGAGGAGCCCCCAGCTCTGCCCCCTAGGACTCTGGAAGGCCTCCAGGTGGAAGAAGAGCCAATATATGAAGCAGAACCTGAGCCCGAGCCCGAGAATGACTATGAGGATGTGGAGGAGATGGACAGGCATGAGCAGGAGGATGAACCAGAGGGGGACTATGAGGAGGTGCTGGAGCCTGAAGGTTCTTCTTTTTCTTCTGCTCCGGCTGGTGAGTGATGGGAGGAGAAGCAGGAGAATTTGGTCATGTCCAGGGGAGGGTAAGAGGAAGAAGAATTTCTCCATTGCCCCAGTAGGATCTTTCTCTGTTTGCCTTCTTCATGTTGATGAGACCATGTTTGTGTTTCTCATTATGCAGGATCATCAGGCTGCCTGGTTGGAGCTGGGGCTCTGGGGATCTCAGCTGTGGCCCTATATGATTACCAAGGAGGTAGGTTGGGAGCGGCCTGAGGAGCCTGTTACCTGCAGGCCCCTGATATAAGACAAGGGGACGTGGGAGAAGAGACATTCATGTCTGACCATTCTAATATCCCCTCAACTTTCTCCTCAGAGGGAAGTGATGAGCTTTCCTTTGATCCGGACGACGTAATCACTGACATTGAGATGGTGGACGAGGGCTGGTGGCGGGGACGTTGCCATGGCCACTTTGGACTCTTCCCTGCAAATTATGTCAAGCTTCTGGAGTGACTGGAGCTCACTGTCCACTGCAACTGTGATTTCCCATGTCCAAAGTGGCTCTGCCTCCACCCCCTCCCTATTCCTTTTGCAGATGTCTAACCAGATGAGATTCTGGACAGACTTCCCTCTCCTGCTTCATTAAGGGCTTGGGGCAGAGATAGCATGGGGAAGGAGGTCCCCTTCCCCAAGAGTCCTCTCTACCCTGGATGAGCTCATGGACATTTCTCTTGTGGTCTTGCCTCCTTCCCCATGAACACCTCTCTACCACCCCAAGCTCTGCTCTAGTCCTCTATGAGCTCTGGGCTTCCTGGTTTGTTTACCCGGAAAAGAACGTCTAGATTGTGTGGTTTGCCTGGTTGTGCTATTTGCCCACCTCCTTCCCTGAAGAAATATCTCTGAACCTTCTTTCTGTTCAGTCCTAAAATTCGAAATAAAGTGAGACTATGGTTCACCTGTATGCTGAGGTAAATAATACTTTTTGTGTGGCCTTCATGGCCCCAAATCTTAAGGTTCCAACCTTTCCTCTTGCAGACATATCCAAGAGACTTTCTCTTACCACTGCCAATTCTCCTGCACCCTAGATGTCAAAGGCTAGGCCTTTTCCTTTTTTTTTTTTTTTTTTTTTTTGAGAAGGAGTCTTGCTCTGTCACCCAGGCTGGGGTGCCGCAGCATGATCGCGCTTACTGCAACCTCCACTTCCCAGGTTCAAGAGATTCTCCTGCCTTAGCCTCCCAAGTAGCTGTGACTGCAGGTGTGTGCCACCACGCCCAGCTGATTTTTGAATTTTTAATAGAGATGGGATTTCCCCATGTTGGCCAGGCTGGTCTCGAACTCCTGACCTCAGGTGATCATCCCCCCCTTAGCCTCCAAAGTGCTGGAATTACAGGCATAAGCCACTGCACCTGGCCTCCTTAGGCATTTTAAACCCAGTCCAAAACAGATCAGCCTGAGCAATGGCTGGGCATGGTGGTGTGGGCCTATAGTCCCAGTACTCAGTAGTCTGAGGTGGGAGAATCACCTGAGCCTGGGAAGTCAAAGTCAAGGCTTCGGTGAGCTGTGATCGCACCACTGCACTCCAGCTTGGGTGACAGAGTGAGACCTTGTCTCAAAAAGAAAAAAAAAGAAAGAAAGAAAAAGAAAAGATGGAGAAGGCATTGGAATCAAGGAGGAGCTAGAATGAGTTGCTAAGACCCATAGTTAGTTGCTCCAGGGCTTCATAGAGTTGGGTGAGCTGCCCAGCAGGGTGTCCAAGGGAGAGAATTCAGTCATGGGTTCATAGTTTCTGTTTCTGGTTGGGCCAGTAAAGCCCCTTTCTCATTCCTCTTTTCCACTTATCACTAGAGACAGAAACTAAAAACCATGGCTTCAGGCTGCTAAAAACCTAAAACAAAACAAAACAGAACAACAACACAATAAGGCAGGTTGGACAAGCTTGGCTTGTGCTCTGGTCTTTGTTCATGATACACACTTGGTTTCAGCGACAACTTCTATGCCTGTGAATCACACATCTGTCTCTAGACTTAACTCATAAGATTCACCCAATTAGCCTTTCAGAGTGCAAAGCAGCTTTTATTTCTTCTTCTAGAGACATTGAGATTTCTAGTATACAGAGGTCAGTCACCACAGATATACTCAGTCTCATTCTTCACTTCAGTTTGATTTGATATCACACATAAATCAGATTTTTATAGTGATTTTCATGACACATCTTCAAGTTCCACCTTGCTTTTCACTTTTTCCTTTGTTGTGAGACAGAAACTTCTTTTCCAGACCCTTATGCTACTAAGGCAGCAAGGTCCTCTCTGGCCCAGTTCTACAGACCCATCCTCCATGTTCAGCTGATCTCTACTCTGGACTTGCCTTTCTTGGTGATGATACTCACCAAGGGCTCTGCCCGTAGATATGTCCCCTCCCTGTGTACGCAGTCCCTCTTTGCTCCCCTCAGCTATTTCTAAATCTGAAGCCACATCTAGCTGTCTTGCCTCTGTCAGATAACACTTGCTGTTCATGCTGTTCACTGCAGCTTCCTCTCACAAATCATTTCTGTCTAATCCATAGTCGCTCTGAAAGGCTTTGGTGCCACTGCCCTCTCACTATGAAGTGTGCTTGTCTTATTGAAGCTCGTGCTTCAACACGGCTCTGAAGGCAGCAACTGGAGGGGAAGAGTGCGGTTTGAAGTGTACAACCCGCAAGCAGTTGTGGGCAGTGCCACTCTCTTGAGGCTGCCCCCACCCACCCAGTTTGGGAAGGGAAAGCCCTCTGCCCTCTTCCTTTCTCCAAGTAGCACCTTTCTCCTCCATTCTCTATGTAGCACCTTTCTCCTCCATTCTCTATGTAGCACCTTTCTCCTCCATTCTCTATGTAGCACCTTTCTCCTCTATTCTCTAAGTAGCACCTTTCTCCTCCATTCTCTAAGTAGCACCTTTCTCCTCTATTCTCTAAGTAGCACCTTTCTCCTCCATTCTCTAAATAGCACCTTTCTCCTCTATCCGTCCATAGCCCCTGAATTTCATTTCCATGGGTCTGTAGTTTCCCTTTCTATTTCTATTAAAATCACAAACCCAGAGTGGAATTTAGGAGCTTTTTTCCTCCATGTAGGAAGGACTAGATTCAAAACATGTGGAACTACCACCTGGACAACTTTCTTCCTTTCTTCCCACTGTAGTGTTAGCTTCTTTCCAGTTACTCATCTTCACAGAATAAAACCTTAGGTCACACCCTAGTCATATTTTTAGAAAATGGTGCCTTATATACAAATATGAAATATAAACCAAAGGATGGAATCAGGAAAAGTAGAGTGACATTACCAAATAGTACCAAGTGGCACATGACAGTGAAAAGATGAGCGTATTTCTGGTCTGGGACTTGCCTTCTCCACTCTTTTCAGAGGTTTCACCTACTTCATCTACGCCAGCTCTGAACCATGTTTAGAGAGAACCCAGGCAATAACAAGCACCCAGATTGACTAGACTCTTTCTTTTGTTGGCTAAATTTTTTATCATCTGCTTCTGTACAATCCCTGTCCTTTTCTTTTCCTATTTCCCACTTGCTTGAGGACTGCTAGGACTGCTGGGAAAATGATACCAATTACAGTGAGAGGAATATAAACACAAGGCTAATAACTCAACACTCCTGGCTTCAGGTATAACCAAAGAGAGCTGAAAGGATACATTCCTGCATGTGGCTGAAGGACATGAAGGCATACCAAACAAATCATTTCCATCCGATTCCCAACTTAAAATCACCACGTGTCTAAAACCTATTTCATAAATAAAGAGCTGTATTAAATCATAACTATTGTGGATGACTATGTGAGATAAGATTTTGCTGCACCAAAAAATAAGCATATCCTAACTTATTGTCACTAGTATGACATCCTTTAGGGATTTTCAACTGGGAGCCATTTTGCTCCCCGACCTTTAGCAATGTCTGGTGACATTTTTGGTTGTTGCCACTGTGGGGGTGCTACTGGCATTTAATGGATAGGCCAAGGATGCTACCAAGTATCTTGTAGCACACAGAACAGTCCCTTGCAACAAATAATTATCCAATTCAGACTGGGCACAGTGGCTTACACCTATAATCCCAGCACTTTGGGAGGCCAAGGCGGGCAGGTCACCTGAGGTCGGGAGTTCAAGACCAGCCTGACCAACATGAAGAAACCCTGTCTCTACTAAAAATACAAAATTAGCCAGGCGTGTAATTCCAGCTACTCAGGAGGCTGAGGCAGGAGAATCGCTTGAACCCAGGAGGCGGAGGTTGCGGTGAGCCAAGATCGTTGTCATTGCACTCCAACCTGGGCAACAAGAGTGAAACTCCATCCCCTCCCCACCCAAAAAAAAAAAAAAAAAAAAAAAAAATTATCCATTTAAAAATGTCAATATTCCAAGTCTCTTAAGAAGCCCTGCTTTAGGGGATGCTAGTTTCTACTGTGTCTTTTTTTCTTTTACTTTTGTTCTTATGAATATTCACTGTTTGTTACCAAAAATAGCAGTATCATCCATTTTTGTCAGACTGAATGCATGACCAGCAATATGGATGGGTAGGAGCAATTTCAGGGAGCCGTTAGGTTCACATGTCTTCCTCTCCAAGACCCCAATGGGGTACCCAAGTGGTGTCTAGGAGCTGGTGACTGGTGCCATAGGAACTGCAGTGGGCCTTGTCTGGACTTTGCCAAAGGTGTGGTCTCCCTGGGCTACCCTGTGCATTCTGGCATGACGCTGAGGTTGGCATTAGTGTATTGAGGTCATTTCAGATAGCGCAGGGTGGCCCAGGGCCATGCCTGTGTTCTGCCTAACTCAGAACATAATTTTCTGAGGAAAAAACATCTTGACCCTTAAGTCATTAAAATGTTAAAAAAGTAGGCTTGTGGCTTTTTGTCCTAATGTTCTCCATAAATACGGTGTCTCCTTTGGACTCCCCATTTCTCAAGGCTTTCCTGCTGTATGTTGCCAAGATTCTAACAGCAGACTCTGTGACCCCATTTCTGCCCCTCATGTTTTGGCCTGTGGTATCTTCAAGGCTGCCATGCTCAGTCAGGGGCTCTCCTATGTCAGGCTGTGTTAGAACTACCCTGGCCTAGAGGCAGTAGAATGGCCAAAACAAGCCCTGGACTTGACCATCAAAACAGACCCAGCTCCAGAGCCTCCAGCTTTGTTCCCTTCACCCTGCATTCCCTGGGGAGTAACTCTTTGTACCTTAGTCCCATTCTGCGTTTCCTGTCCCATAAATTTGAAAGTGCTCTGTAAACTAAAAAGCCCATAAAAGCGCAGGCCTGTACTGATTATGGAATTTCATGCTCTCTCATCGCTTAAGAAATTGGGTCCATCTTCCAAATGGCCTCAAATTACTTATTTTCTTCTCAGACCAATCTATTTTAGAAAGAAAGAAAAAAGAAAAGAAAAGAAAAAAGGTAATAAGTCACTAATATGTCACTATGGTACAAGACATGGCTTAGGAAATTCTTTGGCCTTGTGTTGAGGTTTTGAAGGACATTGCATGTTCCAATACACCCTGATAAGCAAATAGGCAGTTTACAGAACGGAGTCCTCAAAACCACACCCTGTCCTACTTCAGGAACTCCGAGAAGAAATCCAAGAAGGGTGCATCGGGTGGCATCTGCATTTTTAGGAGACGTATCTTCCTCGTGGTCTGACTCTAAAGGTGGAGACTAAGCTCTCTCGGGCCTGCTCACGGGGCTGACACATGCTGGTCAAAAGAATCGGGTCAGTTTTGTGCTCTACGATGTTGAAAGGACAGGACTTCAGGTGCTCAGACATGGAGGTGACTTCATTAAACTCCCAGCTCTTGATTTTGGAGAAGAGGCTGCTGAACTGCCAGATCTGTTGAGAAAGATAGAAGTTCAAAGGTGAATATAGGGGTGTTATCCTCTGGCTGGCTTTATTTGGGCACTATAAGGAAATATCCTTCTGCTCTTCATATTCTTAGACTCCAGAGTGTTTAGTGGCTCCTGAAGACGTTTGGTAGCCCCTTCTCCAGCATCCAACTCCTAGTTCCCCCTGCCAACCAATAATCTTCCCAACCAGCCCTGTAGTTGTGAGAATCACTAACACCAATCAGCATATTGACACACACTCTCCCTTGCTCCTCCACCAGCAAGTGATTAATTTTAGAGTAGATGCACAGTTCAAATCAGGACAATTAGTACCAGTGCAATTCTTATTCCAGAACTTTTGTTGGAGATACCAAAAAGCAGATTCTCTTTTTCTTTCTGTACTTGAACTGCGAAGCTGAAGTCCTAGGAGCTGCCAGCAATCACCAGGGACCACCGAGTGAGAACTATCTTACAATGTAGCCATTATTGAGGAAGTAGAGGTAAAAAACAGAAAGAAGAGATGTCATTTGGGGACATTTTTTGAGCTGTTAGATCAAGCCTTACCTGAAGCCATTACCATTAGACTTTTTAGTTACACAAGCCAATAAACTCCCTTTATTGTTTATGCCACTTTAGGTTGATTTTCTATTGCTCGAAATTAAGGTATTCTAACTCATAAGAGTCTCACTAGAATGGGAACCCCATAGGAAAATTCTGTGAGTTCTGAAATATCCTCTGGTCTTTCCACCTGGGATGTAATGGCAAAGTCACCGTTTTCAAGTCTGGTTATGTGAGTAGGCATAGCCCAATACTCTTTCAACCTGACTACTTCACCTACAGTTTCTTGTCCTTGTTGCTATGTAGGAAAAGTGGTTTCTTTGAGATCTTAGAACTATTTCCCTTTTCACTTTAAAAATCCGTTCTAATGTGAGTATCCTTTAGCCCCAACTAAATTTTCTTTATTTCTTTCTGCAAGGAAATTAGCTTGTCCCAAATAATATCTGAGAGTGGTCAGCCATCATTGAACTGGGGACAAACTTGAGCCAAAAAATAATGGGATTTCTAGTATCTAAATTAAATTATTTACATCTGATGTTAGGCGTTTTTAGACAATACTATTTCTGAAGGCAGTGTGTTAGTCTTCATTCATGTTTCCTCCTAATACGTGCTAGGTTGACAGTCAGTGTTTATTTAACACTTGAATTCAGGCACTATACGAGAGAGAGAGAGTCTTGTAATTACTTTTTGAGGAAGACTGCTCAGGAGTAAATAATGGAAAACATACAAAATGTTTTAGACATAATCAATAAAAATAGATGCAAACAACTCTAACTCCCCGATGCCAATTTGCAAATACCACATGTTAGGAAGAAATTCAACAGTGAGATTATGGAATTATTGACCTAAATGGGCATCATAAATTCATGGTTCATATTACCAACATGTTTACCATGAGAAAGGATGCTACAGGCACTGGGATATGATGAATTAGGAGCCTCACTTCAGTATGGTACAAGCTGGTAGAAGTTAGAATACACTTAAACAAACATGACCTATTGGGGAAAAGGAACAAGGTATTTCTGAAGGGAAGGGTTCTTTGATCTATACAGCAGAGTGTTTTTTGAACAATTAAAGTAGCATTTGAACCAGGGGAAATCAGTGGGCCAAATTCATTTAGAATTTCAAAATGCCTTTATCAAAGGCAAAAACTGTTTTAAAAAATGAGTTGACATGGGACTGAGGAGATTTGTTGGCCTCCTGTATCAATCAGAGTCAGAGCAGGGAACAGGCAGCATTCTCAGACTTGGTAATTTGAAGAGAATTTTTTTTTTAAAGGAATGATTTACAGACACAAGAACAGGGTATAGGAAAGCCACGAGATACAGTGCAGTTCCCAGGGTGAGTAGCTACCTAGAGAGTTATGCCGTGGGCCTGAAAAAGAAGGAAGGTCATTGGATCCCGGAGTGAGTAATTTTGTGTAGAGAGCCACCTGATAAAGTCACCTTCAGTGGAGGGACAGCATCTGCTCAAAGTGTCACAAAGGGGAGGAACCATGCAGGGGGGAAACCAGGAGAATAGATACTTCAACCTCTTCCTTCCCTCCCTCCCATCTCCTGCTGACATGCTCCATTTAGGTTATCCCCACTGGAAGCTGGAGGCAAGGGAGCCAGCTGAGGCAATCTGTCCGGGTCAGCCTCCTGGGGGACAGACAGGGTGGAGAAGGATGGAGAATGGGTCTTGTGAGCAAACAGAAGATATTCAGCACATATACACAGATGAACAGGCACTACCCTCTGGATTGCTCTTTATGTGTTTATAGGTCTGTCTTTTCTACTAAATTGACCTCCTTGAGTCAGTCTTATTCTCAGCAACTGTTCCCATGCCTAGTACCCTGCTTGGCACATAAAAAGCTGTTTAAGGCTGGGTGCAGTGGCTCACGCCTGTAATCCCAGCACTTTGGGAGGCTGATGGGGTTGGATCACCTGAGGTTAGGAATTTGAGACCAGCCTGACCAACATAGAGAAACCCTGTCTCTACTAAAAATACAAAATTAGCCGGGTGTGATGGTGCATGCCTGTAATCCCAGCTACTCGGGAGGCTGAGGCGGGAGAATTGCTTGAACCTGGGAGGCGGAGGTTGCGGTGAGCCGAGATTGTGCCATTGCACTCCAGCCTGGGCAAAAAGAGCAAAACTCCATCTCAAAAAAAAAAAAAAAAAAAAAGGCCAGGTGCAGTGGCTCATGCCTGTAATCCCAGCACTTTGGGAGGCTGAGGCAGGTGGATCACCTGAGGTTGGGAGTTTGAGACCAGCCTGACCAACATGGAGAAACCCCGCCTTTACTAAAAGTATAAAATTAGCAGGGTGTGGTAGTGCATGCCTGTAATCCCAGCTAGGAGAATCGCTTGAACCTGGGACATGGAGGTTGCGGTGAGCCAAGATCATGCCATTGCACTCCAGCCTGGGCAACAAGAGCAAAGTCTGTCTCAAAAAAAAAAAAAAAAAAAAAAAAAGCCCTTTAAAAATATTTGTTGGGCCGGGCATAGTGGCTCACGCCTATAATCCCAGCACTTTGGGAGGCTGAGGTGGGCGGATCACAAGGTCAGGAGTTCCAGACCATCCTGGCTAACACAGTGAAACCACATCTCTACTAAAAATACAAAAAATTAGCTGGGCGTGGTGGCGGGCGCCTGTAGTCCCAGCTGCCCAGGAGGCTGAGGCAGGAGAATGGCATGAACCTGGGAGGCGGATATTGCAGTGAGCCGAGATTGTGCCACTGCACTCCAGACTGGGCGACAGAGCAAGACTCCATCTCAAAAAGAAAAAAAAAAAAAATTGTTAAGGCCAGGTGCAGTGGCTCACACCTGTAATTTCAGCACTTTTGGAGGCCGAAATGGGAGGATCACTTGAGACCAGGAGTTCAAAACCAGCCTGCACAACACAGTGAGACCCCATCTCAATTTAAAAATTAGTCAGATGTGGTGATGCACACCTGTAGTCCCAGCTACTTGGAAGACTAAGGCAAGAGGATCACTTGAGCCCAGAAGTTCGAGGCTGTGGTAAGCTATGATTGCACCACTACACTTTTGCCTGGGCAACAGAGAGAGTACCTGTTTGTAAAAAATGAAACAAAAAATTGCTGAATGAGTCATTCAATCAATCAATAATGAGTGTTGACTTACCTCTCTGTGGACTCTCCAGGAGGTGCCTCCATGGGAATACCTCTTCTTCCATTGCAAAAGGACCATTCCTCTCTCTTGTAACAAAGTGGCACAGATATTCCTCATCAGCACAGACACCTGGGAGAGCTGGGCCAGGCTGACACTGTCCAAGAACCCAGCAATGTACTGCAAAATCTCCAGGGGCAGGCTGGTTAAAGAATTCTGGCTTTTTCCTCCATGACCCAAAAGATGGTTGTTCTTCCTTCCCTCGCTCAGCTCTGGAGCAACCTCCGGCTTAATGGCAAAGGTCTTGAGCTCCTGGCTGTAGATTACTTTTGCCTTTTGCCCCGGGGGACGGAAATGGTTTTGAACAAATGTACATCCCAAGTAGGCAAGGGGGCATCGATGCTGGAACCAGCCGTTGAGACAAGACTGAATGTCTGTGTGGACATTCTTGAAGTGCAGGGGGAACTCATCCCTCCTGAAGAATTTGTTGCAAGTGAAAGTGAAGGCAGAACTGCTTTTGTTGTGTCTCCTGGTCACACACTCACTGTGGAGCTCCACGTGGAGTCCCCCTGGGGTGGCAGTGGTTAGGTCAGCCAGCACTGTCCCAGAGGAAAACTGTTCTGGCTCAAAGTTGTATGTTTGTGTGGCAAAATCCATGAACAATCCATCAATGCTTCTGGATTCAGAGATGACATGGCCTTTGAGTTCTCTTTCCAAAGCACACTGGAGGGTGGTCTTGATGAGATCTGATTTGGGCAGGTCCTCCACAGTGATCCCCAGATCTGAAGTATCCACTGCCTTGTGTTCACTCGGCTTACAACTCAACATGGTATCTCCAAGTCGAGCTCGCTTTCCACAGTAGCTCACAGGAACTTTGAAGGTGTAAACAGTCTTAACTTCCTGAGCCTCAAGCTTGCCATAAACAAAGTCTCTCTCCTTGGGTGTACAAGCAGGCATCTGACCAAAGTGGATCAGCATCCGCCCATTGTGCACTAGATACATGTTATAGTCCTTTGCATCCACAGCTGTTTTCAGTCTTTCCAGAACACCATCCTGCCAAGGGGCAAGCCCTGTGGTTTCCATAGCTGTATGAACATGCTGCTGCTTCTGATTTTCCTGTGGTTCTTTCTTTTTGGGAGCGCCCTCTCCTTCTACCATGTTATTGCCACTGGAAATCTGTTCCTTCTCTGGGCCATTCTTCTTCTTGCTCTCACAGCTCGCTGACGAATTTGTTAAAGCAGAGGCTGCGTGCTCTTTGCTGAAAATATTTTCCCACTGGCCAAACTTAGCCAGGTCCATCCCTTCTTTGGTTTTGGCTAGCACCTCCCGTTCTTCTTGACTTAGCTCTGCCATCTCCCCATTAGTTGCTGACAAACCATGTGGTACCAAACTGATATCCACTCCACCTACTGCTCCTCCCATTTCCTCCACACCGGTTTCACCATTCATAGTTGGTTCCTCCTCAGTAGCCTCTCTAGTTTCTGGGAAAAGTTCCACCATTTTCAAGGATCTGAAGAGGACCTTCTGGTCCTGCAGGGCCAGGGCTGTGTCCAAACACTCCTCACTGGGGGTCTCTTTCATGATGTTCTCATGAAGGGTGGTTTCAGAGTCCACATTTGGCCAGCGGTTCCACTCCATGGAGCAGCAGACCACGCTGGCGGGGCACACCTGCAGGTGCTTGGCCAGTTTGTGGCGGGACATGGACAGAGGACAGCCATATTCGGAGTTGAGGCATGGAACCTGCTCTAAAGGGCAGAGGAGCTGGTGCTCTGCCTCTTTGCACATGTGGAAGGTGGCACCACAGAGCAGGTGGCAGCTTATTACCAGGCAGGAGACGTTGGGTTCCACAGGAATGTGGCAGTGGCGGTTGAAGCATCCCTCACAATGCCTGTGGTGCCCTGGCAGAGGCCTCCGGGCTTTCCCCTGGACACACCAAGGACAGGGGAAAGAAAACAAATGAATACTGAGGAGATGCTCTGTGCATGTCTGTGACTGTGTTTTAATTGACATATTTCCTGTTTATGCCTGCTTTTTGTAGAAACCTTGAAATATATGGAAAATCACAATCCCACAATCCAGAAACAACAACTGTAAGTACTTTTTAGAGTTTTTCAACAGTTTATTGTATATATGTGGTAGATGTGTTTAGAATAGGAAAAAAAGAATTGAATATAATGGACTACACTGTTGACAATTGTTATTTTTGAGTTGTGGATTACAGGTTATTTATATCATACAGATAATACTATGGATACAACTCTTCATCCTGCTTTTTACGTTGCTATTAGAACACGAAACTAGATTGTTTTATTAGTTATTCTCTACAGACTTTCTTCATAATGGCAGTGCAACATACCGGAATATGGGTGTGCTATCATTTAATCAACTACCACCAGAGGGCGGGCTGGGAGGACAGCAGCCAGCTCTGTTGCTCGCATTTATGTCCCTAGCATCTAGCATGGGCCCTGGACCTTTGTGGGTATTCAGTGCTTGCTGAATGAAAGAATTGCTAGCCATTTAGATTATTGCTGGCTTTTTGACTATTTTATTTAAATTTTCACTAAAACTCTTTGCTCAAAAATCCTTCTCAACTGTTTTCCCCTTACTCTGCATCAGTTTCTTCCAAGTTCTGTCCAGGATTTCTGGTTTGGAAAAAAGTTGATAAACATCATCAACCCGTAAGAGCAAGTCTGCTAGCTGCTTGGGCTACAGGATAAAAGAAGGAAGACCTGGACCTCTCAATGGTGAAGCTTCAATAAGCTCCTGGTGCTTACCATGGTGCCCCAATTTCTTCTTGCTTCTTAGCTCTAGGGGAAAATATGAATATAAATGATTAGTAAGAAAAGCAGTTAGGTTACCTATACTAACAGGGGCTAAAGAGACTTCACACACTGTCTCATTTAATTCCTTCCACCGTCCTGGAGGTGTCTTTATCCCCATTTTTGAGTCAAGGAAACAGAAACTTGAAGGTAAGTAACTTGTCCAAGGTCACACAGCTGCTAAGTGATGGAATCAGCTTTGTAGTCCAGGCCATGCTGGCCCATGCTATTTTCTCCGACCCCCACTGCCCTCTGATAGGGCGCATTACCAACTGTGGGATGTGTAACTTCTGCTTCCTATAACGTTCTCCATTGTCTGCTGACAATTATCCTGGCATTCTAAACACTCTTCTACCCACAATCTGGCCTACGTTACCTTCTAATCTTCTCTTCCACTGGGGCTTCCTGTCCACTTAGAGGTCAGCCTGACATCTAACTTGGTCTGGGGCAGTGTGTAGGTGTCTGTGAAATATCTGTAACATGCCATTTCCCCTGGTATATTCAGCTGTGCTATAGCAGGGGTCAAAACCCCAAAGGCCCCAGAAGTTGACTGAACGGAGACTCTGGCAAGTGAAAGAGAAAATGCCCTGTCTTCAGGGAAATGAAATTTCTCAGCCCCGGTTAATTGATGCCCTGTGGGAATGTGTTGCCAGACCTGGTTTTTCCAGAGACCGTGGGGATGTGGACTTTTGTGAGTGGTGATATGGTTTAGTGGTTAGAAGGCAGACTGCACAGGTTTACACCCTGGCGCTACAAGTCAGTGGCTGTGAAGACTTTGGGAAAGTTACTTCACTTCTTTGTTCATCAGTTTCCCCATCTGTAGAGAGAGGATAATAATAGTACCTATCCCATAGTGCTGCTGTAAGGAGTAAATGAGCTAAATATACATGAAACTTTTAGAACAGTGCTTGTTTCACAGGAAGTGATCTATACATGTTTGCTATTGTAAAGTAGTATTTTATATTTCATCACAATGCAAAATATTTTACTATATATCAAAATAAAAATACTCTGAATTTTAAATGTTAACAACTAACTTAATTTAAAACAACACTCTATTTGAACCAAAGAAAAACATGAATACTGGCCAGATAGGATCTGTAGGTTGCCAGTTTGCAATATCTGGTCCAGAGAATTTGTAACATACTTTCAGCACTGTGTTAGTCTGTGATGGAGGGGAGGTTAGCATCCAAATGTCAGTAGATCCATAAGTTTAAAATTTGGCCAGGTGCAATGGCTCACACCTGTAATCTCAGCACTTTGAGAGGCTGAGGTGGGTTGATTGCTTGAGCCCAGGAGTTCAAGACCAGTCCGAGAAACATAGCAATATCCTGTCTTTACTAAAAAAAAAAAAAAAAAAAAAAAAAAAATTTAAAATTAGTGGGGCATGGTGGTGCATGCCTATGATCCCAGCTACTTGAGAGTGACGCTGACATGGGAGGATCGCTTGAGCCTGAGAGGTCAAGGCTGCAGTGAACTGTAATGGCACCACTGCACTCCAGCCTGGGTAAGAGAGTAAGACTCTGTCTTAAAAAAAAACAAAAAAACACTTTACTTTAGAATTTGCCAATTCATTGTGGGTAAAATTTCCCCCAACTTGAAAAAAAAAAAAAAAGACATTTCAAATATACAGAAAAGGTGAAGGAATACATACAACAAACACCAAAACGTACTTTATCTAGATTCAGCAATTGCTAACATTTTACCATTTTTGTGTCCTTTCTTTTTCTCCTCTCTGTCCCTCTCTCAATCTCCCTCCACCCCCCAACCACACACACACACACACACACACACACACACACACACACAGAGTTTTGACTGAGCCACTTGAAAATAAGTTGCCAGCCAGGAGCGGTGGCTCAAGCCTATAACCCCAGCACTTTGGAAGGCCGAAGCAGGTGGATCACCTGACATCAGGAGTTTAAGACCAGCCTGATGAACATGGTGAAACCCCGTCTCTACTAAAACTACAAAAAAAAGCGATTAACCAGGCACAGTGGCATGTGCCTGTAATCCCAGCTACTAGGGAGGCTGAGGCAGGAAAATTGCTTGAACCCGGGAGGCAGAGGTTACAGTGAATCAAGATTGTGCCATTGCACTCTAGCCTGGGCAACAGAGCGAAACTCCATCGCAAAAAAAAAAAAAGGAAGAAAGAAAGTAAGTTGCTGATATAAGATGCTTTATCCCTAAGTACTTCAGCTTGTACTTCCTAAGAATAAAGACTTATAGTAACATTATCTCACCTAAGAAAACTAAAAATACTTTTCTAATATCATGTAAAATGCCTATAGTCACATTTCTCCAGTTGTCTCCAAAATGTCTATTATAGTTATTTTTAAATTTTTAATATTTTTATTTATTAAACATTTTTATTGATATATAATAGTTGTACATCTTTTGGGGGTACATGCAATATTTTGATGCCTGTATACAATGTGGAATGATCGAATCAGGGTAATTGGGATATCCATCACCTCAAACACTTTTATTTATGTTGGGAACATTATAATTCTTCTCCTTCAGCTTTTTTTTTTTTTTTTTTTTTTTTTTTTGACAGAGCCTTGCTCTGTTACCCAGTGTGGAGTGCAGTGGCACATCGTAGCTCACTGAAACCTCCACCTCCTGGGTTCAAGTGATTCTTTTGCCTCAGCTTCCCAAGTAGCTGGGATTACAATCATGCGCTACCACACCTAGCTAATTTTTGTGTTTTTAGTAGAGACAGGGTTTCACCATGTTGGCCAGTCTAGTCTTGAACTCCTGACCTCAAGTGATCCGCCTGCCTCGACCTCCAAAACTGCTGGGATTACAGGCATGAGCCACCGTGCCTGGCCTCCTTTAGTTATTTTGAGATATACAATAAATTATTGTTAATTATAATTTTTCTACTGTACTATCAAATACTAGAACTTATTTCTTCTAACTATATATTTTTTAAAATTTTGTTGTTGTTTTTTGAGACAGAGTCTCACACTGTTGCCTCGGCTGGAGTGCAGTGGTGCAATCTCGGCTCACTGCAACCTCTGCCTCCCAGGTTCAAGCAATTCTCCTGCCTCAGCCTCCTGAGTAGCTGGGATTACAGGCGCCCACCACCATGCCTGGCTAATTTTTTGTATTTTTACTAGAGACGAGGTTTCACCATGTTGGTCAAGATGGTCTCGATCTCTTGACCTCGTGATCCGCCCACCTCAGCCTCCCAAAGTGCTGGGATTACAGGTGTAAGCCACTGTGCCCGGCCCAAATATTTTTAACTGGTACATAATATTTGTGCATGGTTATGGTGTACATGTGATATTTTCTTATATGCATAGAATCTGTAATCATCAAGTCAGGATATTTAGGTCATCGTCTCAAGTATTTATCATTTCTATGTGTTGGGAACATTTCCAGGACTCTCTTCTAGCTATTTTGAAATATACAATACACTGTTGCTAGCTATAGTCACCTACTCTGCTACCAAACACTAAAACTTGTTTTCTCTGTCTGTTCATATCCATTCACCAACCTCTCTTCTTCCCTCTGCCACTATCCTCTACACCCTTCCCAGGCTCTGGTAACTATCATTCACTCTCTACCTCCATGAGATCAACTTTTTTAGCTCCCACATATGAACGAGAACATGCAATATGTATCTTTCTATGTCTGGTTTTAAGACCTCTGCTCATTTTTGAACAAGGATCCTTTTAATGCCAATTTATTCTATTTGATTGTCAAGACTTTTTAGCCTCTTTAATCTGGAACAGTCCCCCACATTTTCTTTTTCAGGAGAAACAGCCTTAAATCACAAGGAAATTATAGTCTGGTTCATTCATTTTATTAGTTCCTCCACTCATTCATTTATTCAACAAACATTTGTTGATTACCTACTACTACTTGCCAGTAAGTGAGCATAAGAGTCACGTGGACGGCTTGTTACAGTCTGAAATACTATTGTTCATTAGAGTCAGCTGTGATGCTTGCTAACCCTATAGATCTGCACTGTTCAATATGATAGTCACCAGCCACATGTGGCTATTTAAATTTAATCAAAATGCAATAAAATGAATAATTCAGTTTCTCAGTCACGTTAGCCACATTTCAAGTGCTCTATTGCCATGTGTG